CATTGCTGCTGGATTGCTTCTGAATAGGTAGTGAGACAAGTCAAGATACTTTACCTTTTCTCACTAAGGATGCCAGTTCTTTTATTACCTGAATTGATTTGCATGTGCAGAATCTTTCTCCGGATTTCAAATGCTATTCGTCCATTTTTGCCTCCTCTATCAGTATTCGTGACTGCCCTCTGTGTTGGAGCTCCATTGGCGATCAACATAAGTTCTGTTTTGTCGCCATCAGGATTGTCAGTGCTTTTTCTTGTGATTGCATTCCATTTGGCGGCATTTGTTTCTGGTTATACCCTCACTGGCCTTTTATTCCACAACACACCTGATGTAAAAGCTTTGCAAAGAACCCTATCCTATGAAACAGGTTTTGGATTGTTTTAATCTTGTGCACTTTTGCATTTTTAAAATTTTGTTGTCCATGTTGAGTTACTCCTTATCCTCTTTTGTAGGCATGCAAAGTAGTCTTCTTGCTCTTGCACTTGCAAATAGGTTCTTTCAAGACCCTCTTGTTGGTGTTCCTCCAGCTATATCTGTAAGTCATTTGGATTACACAAACTTATTCTTGAGCAATTAGAGATCGTTATTTTCTAATCTGGAGAATTTGAGCTTCTTTACATGGATAATGATATTCCTAGCATTATCATTTAGCTCTGGTTGGTTGTCAAGTTTCACTATCTTGCCTATTAATGTTGTTGAGTTGGACAAATCTTAATTGCAACCATGAATTTGGATAAAATTGACATTTCACTGCTGTGCATGATGTCTTTTTAACTCTATGTTATTTTGATTTGTCTTTTTAGCTCTGTGCATCTTTCATGAGTCAATTACTTTGTGTTCACTTGATAGTGTGAATACGACCAATTCTGCAACAGGAGAAAAGAAAAAAAAAGATTATACGGTCAATGTATGGTGTAAGATACAATGAGTTAGATAATGATACTATTTCTTTTGCTTGATGGACTTCTTTTTTACTTTTCTATGTATCGGATTACTTAACATGAGCATCTTATCTGTATATGCAGGTCGTAATAATGTCTTTAATGGGTTTCTCACTTGTAATGCTCTGGTCTAAGAAGAGCGAAGCTATTGCCTGATAAATATTACTACTTGATTTCTTCTTATGTAATAATACATCCTTGGCTTCTGCCCATCCGCTGTCCTTTGGTGCAAAAGAAAAGGAGAATGCAGGGGTCACTGATGCGGAATGTGATTTTCCTATCATTCCCTGCCTTTGGTTGTCAAAGTATTCTACCAGGTTGACAACGCTAAAGGATCTTGAATGCATGGCTGATTGCATGCTCTTTGTCCTCTTCAAGTGCAGAAGAATTGGAAATCTTGGCGCCACCTCTAGAAAATACCACGTAAAACGTGACTTCTAGCAGAGAAGATTTCTTAATCGAGTGTTTTGTCATGCTCTCCATCTCCAAGTTCGGTTCTTGGTGACATATTGGCTTGTAAAAGAGCAGAGTACATGTATTAACCAATTTGAACTGTTGCTGAATGAAATGACAAGCACGAGGAATATTTTTAACAACTTGTGCTTGTGGCAGCCTTTTTAAGTTCTTGAATCAGTTCCTTTTCTCACTGTACCCTGGAATGTCATCTGCCTCGAACGATTTATTGTTTGTTACAGTTCCTGCTATTAGTCGAGGATAAGGTCTGCTTAAAAGTTCATTTTCACATTGCATCATATTCGAGCACCGTCCTTATCCTCTAAGCTGCTGATTCTTGAAGTTACAAAATGGTACAGATTTCATATAGAAGTCTGACGAAGAGAAAATTTGTCAATACATATTTTTTACCAAAAGCCACTGGTGACATTTTATGGGCGCATTATCTTCTATTTCTCATACACTATTATTATGCCCCTTTATGCATTCATTCATCTAAACTACTTAAAGCCGCGAAGCCTGATGAACAGTTGATTGTGCCAGTTTCGCTGTGGTTTTGCAGCTCATTTTGTCCTTTTTCGTCTTTTCGCGGGCTTCATGTAGCGCCCTTGCTTCTGCTTCCGCTTGTCCTTGTTGCTTTGTTCCCATTCTGCCCTTTCCCTTGTCTAAACTACTTAAAGCCGCGAAGCCTGATGAACAGTTGATTGTGTCGGTTTCGCTGTGGTTTTGCAGCTCATTTTGTCCTTTTTCGTCTTTTCGCGGGCTTCATGTAGCGCCCTTGCTTCCGCTTCCGCTTGTCCTTGTTGCTTTGTTCCCATTCTGCCCTTTCCCTTGTCTAAACTACTTAAAGCCGCGAAGCCTGATGAACAGTTGATTGTGCCGGTTTCGCTGTGGTTTTGCAGCTCATTTTGTCCTTTTTCGTCTTTTCGCGGGCTTCATGTAGCGCCCTTGCTTCTGCTTCCGCTTGTCCTTGTTGCTTTTTTTGTTGCTTTGTTCCCATTCTGCCCTTTCCCTTGGTTCGCCTGTAATTTTGTCCCCAATTTTGTCCTTTTGTTTCTCCTGGATCTTCCGCTGTTGCCTGACTTTACTCACAAATGTTAGCTTTTCTCCCCAATTTCGTCCTTTTCTTTCTCCTCCATTTTCTTTCTTCAAACTATAATTCTCTCTTCTCTTTTATATTTATTATGATATTCATTAATCAATAAATTAATTACTCAAAATATATATATTAACAAACATATTGATTTTGTAAAAAATAATGCCTCGAGTCACCTTATTGTAATTTAAATTTCTGTAACACATAAGCACATGTACTATTCGTTGACTTTGAATAAGATATTCATTAATCAATAAATAAATTACTTCATGATTAGATAAATATAATGAGCTAACAAGTGTTAGTAATTTTTGACATCAATGATCTAATAGACTGTTTAAAATTACTCTTTAAAATTGTGTTTTTTCTCCATAACACAGAAGCCCATGTACTATTTGTTGATTTTGAGTAACATATTCATTAATCAATAAATAAATGACTTCATGATTACATAAATATTAATGAGCTAACAACCATGATTAATTTTTCATATCAATGAGCTAATAGACTCTTTAAAATTGTGTTCGCTACAAGGAATGCAGATAACAGAAAGTTGGCAGATAACAGAAGGTGGTTCAACCGGTCAACCCGGTGAACCGGCCATGAAACCGGGCTGGTCCAATGCTGATTTGAACCTCCGACTTCAAGCATAAAAGCTACGCGCACTCACCACTAGCCTAGCAGTTCACTTGATGCTTATTCACTCCTTCTATATTATATATTAGATTTTTATTCTTATTTTATTTCTTCAAAACAATATTTGTTTGGAATCTTTTAATAAAATTTCATTATTCTCTAAATTCTATAAATTATGAAATGGATTTAAAAAATAACATATTACACATTTCATTTTAAAAACAAATATTATTCTTAATAACCTTTTGTGCTTAAAATTCAAAAATAAACTAGATAATTACACTTAGATAAAATTTTATACTTGAAGTTTGGTGGATTACTAATTAAATTTAGGTTTTGTTAATTCTTATAAGAATTAATGATTCTATAATAAATTGGACTAACTGAGTATTTACTATAACATAGTTTATTATAGTTTTAACCATATCAAAAATTATAAAACATAATATTTAAATATATGTAGTGACCCACCGGTTGGACCATTCATCCACTGGTTGAACCAGTAACCCGTTGACCCACCTCTTTCACCGGGTTCCTCCCCGGACCGGGTTTAATAACTATTGTTTACCTTGCTCAACGAAAACAATTATTCTATCAACCTCTTTGACAGAGACTTCATCCAGCAATCTTGATCAACAAATGTTCATTACAGCTTATGAGACATAACAGTTATATTCCCCTAAATTATCCATCATTTATGTAATGAAATAAAAAATTTACCACCAACTATGAAATTCCTCTCATTACACAACTTCACAAAATTTTACCATTACCGCCCACTCTAAATATTTACAATAATAACCACACATATATAAACAAAAAAACAGATAATATAAACAACATCAAACAATCATAACATACATTTTCTCACCCAAAATATATATATCAAAAAAATTTCATTTTCTCAAAAATATATATATATCAACAAAAACTTCACACACATCCAATAAATATAAATCAACTATACCAATCTATCTTTAACTTCCATTCACTTCACCAACCATTTTCTAAAAATATCCAATAATTTCTTTCTATTAAAAAAATAGTTATAATTAATTCTATACCCTTTATATATAATTTATCTTCCACAATGTATACATTAACAAAAATATTTATTCTCTAAAAACACAACTTTAATTCTATAATACAAACACAGACTTATTTTCGCTACAAAAACATATAAATATATTTTTATATCCTATTTATTACCCATTTTATATATCTCCACTTTTTCCAAAATATATTTTACTCCAACCAATTATTTTTCACAATATAACATAATTTCTCTCTATTTCAAAAGTACTCCTTAAATAATATTCGTTAATAATTGAATTATTAACTTAAAGTTCTTCCATTTTTAAATTAAATAACATAACACAAATGCAACTACCATAAAACACTTATCAACAACAAATCCATAGCTATTTAATAAATACAAATTAATTATACCACTTTCCATTACCTTCCATTAACTATATTCCAAAAATATTACTTCAATAATATTTCAAAAACTAAAAAATTCAAAAATATACAACCAAAAACCAAAATTAAAAAAAAAACTTTTCTCTAAAATTATAACCTACATTATCATTAAACAATCAACAATGGACACCCCGCGAAACTCGCGGGACACCAGGCCTAGTCTATCATTATCCATGGAGGAGGCAAATCGTAAACATTTCTACGTATAAAATGAGCAATCGAGCAATGAAACAACGAGTATATATTTAAAAAAGAAGAAGAAGAAAAAAAAAAGAACTCCTTGAAAGAGTTATAATTTGGGCATTCCAATTATTGGATACTTGCTTAAAATCACGGAACAGTGGAGTAGCATCAATTGCGAAAAAGCTAGTTAAATGCTTTTGTCTATTAGTGCTATTATTTCGCTTGAAGAAAGAAAATGAAAATATGGAAAGTCCAAATCAAGCATGTCAGTTATCCCAGGTAAGTGATGAACCTACAGAAGGCAGATTGGATTTGCTTGGCTTCTTATTACATTTTGTAGCAAATTCAGAATCATCAGATGCAGCTCCCTGGCTATCCACAGGCCACACCAATGGCAACTATTACTTCGCTCTCTCCTTTAAAACTGTCCTTATATAAACCAAATCAAACATCTGCAAAATCCGACCTTTTTGCCAGAGAAACTACCAAAATTTCGAGGCCCTTCAATGACAACATCACTCTGAGCAAGAAATGCATAGCCACTCTTGTGAGAAGTGCTGGATTGGCCTTAAGTTTAACCACCCTTGTGGGAGTGGGATCATCCATTGCATTTGCAGCTGAGACACCATCTTTAGTGGGCTCTTCTTTGCCGTTCGCTGAACCTTCAAATGCTCTCTCCTTGCCTACCTGGGCTGTTCACGTCTCCAGCGTGGTTGAATGGTACCATTAATTACAATTTATCTCTCATTCAGGGAGTGTGCGTGCTCCTGTGTGGCAATTCTGATGTGTTTTATGTATATTTTTGTGTTGAAGGATCACTGCTATGGCTTTGGTTTGGCAATATGGGGAAAAATCTGGGAATGAATCTTGGAAGGGGCTTTCTTGGGGCATGGTGAGAAATTTTTGTGCTGTTACACCAATTTTGCTATTGTATATAAGCCGATTTCTCAAAAAAAATAAAAAAAATCAATTTCTCCAATTTCTCCATCCCTGCTTACTTAGAATCCTCTTTTCTTTTGCAATTCACTCACCACTCTCACAGTCACAACCAAACACAGATATGAGGCCTAATATTGACGGCATCCGCAGGTTATACACCAAATATCCACCAAACTGATCCTAGTAAATGAGTAATTATTGACACCAATTTTCCAACACAAACGACAAAATGAAACTAAGGACCTTTCATTATTTGTTTTTCTTTAGCGGATTGGAGTTGGTTGCTAAGTTACATTTTCTTTTTAGCTGGAAAAAAAAAATCTAGTTTATGTGCTTTTTGCTTATGTTGTGTTTATTGTTCTGATGCCATACTGCTTTCTGTTATGTCTGCCTAAATTTTGTTACTTGTACGCTTTCAGGAGTGTAGTTGTCCCCATGGTTAAGTTCTGATACATAAGCTTTCTGGATAAGTAACTAATATCCTGAAGTGGATTAGTCTAATGCACTAAATTAAAGTTTTGTTTAGAATCAAAAGAAATAGGATCATGGAACTTTATTCTGATTTCTGCCTCTTCATTGAAGAAGAAAGGGCTGGGGATGATTAGAAGTAACAGGATGAAAATTACAGGATGAAAGAAAAGAAAATAAGGATACCAGCAGGCACAAAAGCGAGCATAAAGATTTGCTTCCGGAAGACATCTTTTTTTGGGGATTGATTAGAGAAAAAATGTATGTGGTGCTTATTGTGGTTTTTGTGTAAATCTTCCCAATAATGGGAACATTCTTTCCAATAAATTTAAAACCAAGTCTGAATGATGTTACAAGCCTGACCATTTTGAGAAGGATCCAGGGTTCTCTGACATTAATTTGTGATATGGCTTCGTAACAGAAGCAGCCAACACTGAATTGGGAATCGAGTTAATTGATGCCTCCTCTGCAAGCTGGCCTGTCATGTCCTAATGATCTTCCTTTGGAAATTGTTACTCTATACTAGAGATCAGTAACTTTAGAAAGCGGGCTTCGAGTTTCATCTTCGGCCTGCAATGAAAATGTTTTCTGTATTACTATACTTTTCCTCAATCTCTTGACAATCTATTGTAAAAGGAGAGGGTGAGCGTGTGCATGTAAGTTTTCTGCAGAAGGCATTAGGTTAATTTAGTTGGGAATCATTAGAGTGACAGGAGATCGTCAGCTCTACTTTATATTATGAGAAATCATTCTAGCAGACAATGCAAAATATTAAGAGAGAACAACAGATAAGAAATCAAAGGACAAGAAGTGCTTGTTTTTTAATAGGTGAGAATAACAGTTCTGGCCATAGCTGAAGATATTCAATTTGGCACATGTTGGCTTTTATTGAATAGTGTCAGCAATCAAGTCATCAGAATCAACATATGTGGGAATAGTACAAAAATCAATAGTCACAGTTGAAAAGGATATGAAAATGAACACAATGAAGAGCATTTGCTTCCCTACTACCAGGCCACAATGACTTATGGCTTATATCAGGATTGTGCTCCACCATGTCAGGTAAGTTACAAACATCATCCTCGATTGTGAAGCACACAGGTATGTTGGAGTAGGCAGATAAGTTCTCCTTGCATAGGCTTTTTAATGAAATCTGTCTGAACTTCAATTTTTCGTTGTACCTTTTGTATAAATGGGAAATACTCTGATAAATATGTTATTTTTCTCATAAAACAAAAATAAAAAAGTCATCCACAATATGGTTAGTTAGTGAACTATTCTCTATTTGGAGTAGCTGCAGAAATTAGGGCTAGTTTTTGCAACTCCTGCAACTCTAGAGAGTGATCTTCAGAGAGATGGAGAAGGCTATTGCTGCTTGGAAGTGGTAACAGGATTTCTATTTTGACATAAAGTTATGCCATTTCGTCCTTTGTGTAGTGTGTTGATGGCGCTGAAGGAATGTGCTGTTGCCAACAATGGGAAGTGGTGAAAAGCATAGAACTGTCTGAATCTCTGTATTGCATAATGATAAATGGAATATTAGCTAGTGAGCTTTTTTGGCATACATGAAAAGATAATGGATTTGAATCTCTAGTGCCATTAGGGTTTGATGACTTACATAATGCCAAGTGATGCATCCTAGAATTTTGTTCTGCAACTGTGAAATTGTCAACTCAATTTTCTCTGTTACTTACTATCACTTTGTTTGAAAGTGAAATGATGATACTGTAGCAGATTCTATTTGCTTTTAGATTCCTCTGCTGGCCCATGAGTTTATAATTTGAATGGCATTGTCAGACTGGACACTTTCAAGTCTTATTTTGCCCAGATCAGGTCTTGATACTTGTTCATAGATGTCCATAGTACATGCTTATATAGGTCAAGTGGGTTTAGCCTTCCAAAAGAACAGTAATTACTTTTCTGATATTGTAATAGATAATTGAAAACTTTGAAGTTTGTTTTCCTTATAATGAAATTTGACATGCAACCTTTTATAGGTGCCCTTACTAGGTGGAGCGTTTTGTGCATGCACATGGCACTTCTTTTATAATGCAGAATCTTTAGAGGTAAATTGATAATGGTTTTTCTCTCGGAGATTTACTTTAATCTTGCTATCAAGATTCACATTCCCATGATAGTGATTGACATTCATCATGATACTTGAGCATTATGTGCTACTTCAATGGAATTTTCCTGTGCTTCTCTTCCTCCGCTTAGTTGTTCCATTGGTTCTATTATTTTAAAATAAGATTACCTCGTGAAATTCTTAAACAAATCTGTATCCGTTATTGAATCATTGCTTTAGAAAACCCTAATGACTCAACAGTGTTTGTTGTTTAACCATTGAGACTGTATAAATGAACATAATAACATTTTAACTACTAGAGTGACGGGTTCAGTAAACTTGTTTATCAACAGAAATTTATGTATTGTTTACATCCTAATATGCTCCTTTATTCTAACTTTTCTGCCGGAGTAGCATAATTTACCGTATGGGTCTTTCAGTTTTGCTACACGCTGCATGGAGTAATTTAGGATCTGATGCGAAATGTGCAATTCTTATTTGCGGATTGTCAGGTATTAGTGGCTCTACAAGCAGCATTAACTGTGATCGGTAATGTGACAATCTTCATTGCTGCATTCCGAATATTCAAGTCTTCAGAGGAAAGCTCAAAGAATCTATGAACTCTACATATGTGGCAAGCGATAAGGAATCTAATTTCCCTTTCTTTGACCAGAGTCTGCTGTCGGTAAGTGCATCCTTCTTTCTTGCGTAAATTTCAGCTGAGGTTCCATTGCATGCAACTAGCAAATGGTGCCTCTCCGTTTTATGCAGGGATATGAATGGAAAGAGGAAATTTTTTCCAAAAACGAAATTGTGGAAGCTCATCAATTTTATGAATTACGTTATCTCCTTGCCCTCGTGGAAGCAGTTCATGGAAGTTTGCCTTCACTTGCTACCACTTGCCAGATGGCTGGAAAGTATTTGGCCATCATATGGATGAAGTTTGTCAATCGAGTTATTTGACTTGGGCTCTCTGCTCCAATATTGTACACTTTGATCAACTCAGCCAAACATCATATGGCATAACAACGTTTATTGACTTTGTATCCAGTTCTTGTCACGCTTTAGCTTCTTTATTGCTGAAAAGCCTTTTTATTTGGTATGATGCCTTTTAATCCGTCTTTACAGTTTCGTGTTTCAACAGGGTCTATTGTGCTTAGCACCAAAAGTTTGCGAACTATGATGACTATCCTGACAAATGTTCCTGACATGTATGATTGAAGTAGATGAACCTGGAATTCGTTAGTCGTGTTTAGATAAGACACACTATTACTTGTTGGTTAGGCTGTGCTCCAACTACACTGATGCTTTTCCTCCAATATGCGCTGCAATATACGAGAAAAAGAGTATCCCTGTGCCAAAGCAACAGTAGCAGCTTCATGTAACAGCGCGCGTCAGATACTATTTGTGGTTTTTCACTCCCCTTTTCCTTAGATTAGACTAGAATAAATTAGGCTAGAATAGATTATACAAACAGTTAGATTAGACTAGAATAAATTAGGCTTGAATAGATTATACAAACAGTTATCGTTGTGAAAAAAAAAAGAAGATAGATGCAACTAAACCAAATTATACTTCTTCTTTTTCTTTTCCGATTAACTAAACCAAAATTCAGTAACCCTCTAGAACTGTGATTTATGAAGATGGAATATCAAGAGTGTCATGAATTTATGGGATCACACTGAACATGTGTATTATATAGTACAAGATTGGTTCTTAATACTTGTGGAAATGAAAAACAAACAAACAAGGTATGTTGGTTTTTTTTGTTAAAAAAAATATTCACGTAAGGAATATTTGTCATACTTTCTGCTTAGTTTTGCTAATGTATTGAACGCCTGCCTCTGGGCTCAAGCTTGACCCTTACCCAAAGAAACTTTCTGGTTGAAGCCAAAGTTGAATGTGTTCAAGCATCTACCAGTAGGAAGAAACATTCCGTTCCACTTCCATGTAAATGAGGTCTCCAACCAACATCAGACTATCGCATTCAGAAAACCATAAATTCATACGCTCACGAACTTATTAGCCTGATTGATTGAGCAGAGTGGAGCTCAAGCTACTCGTTTTTTTTTGCAGCCTAGAGCTGCATATTTAGACATTTCTGAGTGCTAATGTTTTGAATACTAGTTCATCCGAATTTAGTCAAATGTTGCTAATGTGAATGGAAACGAGGATCGAAGGGGTTGTTTTGTAACTTTTTTCTTCACCGTAATTCTTTACTCGTTGTAATGACTGATGAGCTTCCTTCCCTTTCTTTCCCTTTCCTTTCTTTACCTTTCCACCATTGAAGTCATTGGGAAACTGTAGGTCAAAGCATTGGGATGCTACAACCCCTTTTAGGCCCAAGACAATTGAGTGAATTCAAATGGTATAATGATCCAGAGGCCATGCTATTGACCTTCTGCATACCTTTAAGAGGCCAGCCTAATTACGTAGTTCTCGAAATACACATTAACTAGGAATGCTAATTTGACTTTTTGAACATTGTTAAGTGAACACTCAGGCTTTCATAGTTGACTTTTATGTTCATGTCGATGTTGATGCTTGCTTCGCTGGGGTAAGAGTAAAATATACTAGTAGTACTATATAGTATGTGATAACTCTTAGACTGTAGTAATTAATTTGACGTATCATGATTAATGGTGGAGTGCAAATTATAGTAGGAAATTTGTGTGTAGTATTTCAAATACAAGTGTACAGTAAGACTTTCCAGAAATACATCAAAAAAAAAAAAAGCCCCAAACTCCCCAATATAGCTCAAGGTGATACATAATGTGAGAATCACGAAAAATTAGGTCCGGTTTGGATTGCTACTTTCTGAAGTTTTTGTACAAAAATGTATTGTAACGATTTGATAGATGCGAGGTAAAAAGGTGATTGGAAAATATGCTCACAAAAAATGCAAAAAAAAATTTCGTAGAAGACTAGAGAATTTTAAATCTTTCACGGATTTTAGTAGATAAAAATTTTTAGTTTGACATCAAAGCTTTTCCATTTTAAAAATTTTCAAGCTGACAAAAGAAAGTTGGGAATATTCATCGTGATCCAAGTTGTTGTTTTGGGATTTTATTTAGGACTCATAATTGGTCATTGATATTTTCCTTGACCATCATCTCACGGTAGAATGGTATATGATTGAATGATTCTGCTTTGCTGTATTGGTAAGAAAATTGGGATTCTGCAGGTTTCTTATTCTAGTTGAGAGATTGTCGGGAAATGATTTCACTATATTAAATAAGCACATTTACTTTATGTATACACAACTTGAAATAATTAAACATAATTGTGTGGAATTTCTGGAAGGTAATTATGTGGAATTTAACTGCACAGTGAAAAGAAAAGAGTACCCTCGAGCCAACAGCTTCAGCTGGATTTTCAACAAAGTCCTTTTTATAGGTTTTGCTGCATGCCCCACGTGTGAGGAACCTTCAAATAACCCTAAGCACGTGTGGCTCGGGGAAAAGGAAAAGTAAATAAGTAATGATAAGTCTTGATTAATTTCTGGGGTCCAATACACTAAAACCACCATGCCCTGCAAGAAATTACAACTGGTTCTTTCTGGGATCTTTTTCTTTTTCTGCCCCTTTCTTGATGGAAATTTTTGCTCCCCTTGTACAGTTACTATAACCATCCGACAGTAGGGATCGAATAGAAATGCTGTCACATTTTCACAGATAGTTTGAATAGCTAAAATTTTGTTACGCGCAGAAATCGTTCTGTGTTGTAATTCATTTTTCTTGATCTTATCTTATAGGCAGAAATACCTGGGTCAGAATTTGACATTGTGACCCAAATTTTTAAGAGATAGAAGGCACTGAAGTCAGTTTGCAGACATAGGTCCTAACCTTCTTAAATTTTGTTCTCTCTTTCTATGTTTCAGTTTTGGGCGTCAAGGGGCTAAATTAGTCTTACCAATTAATGGCTACCTGGTTTATGACAGCTGTGAGGATGAACTTCGGATATACTGATCAGGAGTTAGATTTTGATGGTCTTCAGTTCATTGGCAGCCTTTTTTGAACTTTTATTCATGATTGTACTTAGTCGTAGAGAAAAATCTTTGTAGATTCTTTCTTTTCCTCTCTATCGCACAAAATAGCTGAAGTACTACGGATCAATAAGACCAGAACAAAATTTTACCAGTCCTTTTAACTTGAATTCTTTTCCAAGCCAATGCCAATCCCTCACTTCTATGCAAGGCCAAAGTTTATTGCATTTGAACACCTTTTTTGGGAGCCCTATGCAGTATCCAATTAGCCATGCAATGACCAGGCACAGTGAAATGAACTTCACTGCAACGTTGACAAGTCTTAGTTCCGTCCGTAACAGGTTTTTCTTGCCAAATAAATTTATCACTTATGGACAAGAGTTCCATGCTTTTTTTTTAATTGTTATGTAATTAATGTCTGATCTCTCCATCAAGTAACATATCGTTCATTTATCATAACAGTAGTGGCCTAATTTTTGTTCCCATGAAAATGCTAAACATTATTGATGTTCTTGAGGTATCAAAGAAGAAATGCAACAGTAGGATAAAATGAGGATGTAGTCTGGACAATATCAATTTAATTGACTTGCTAACAACTTACAATATTCCACTCGGATTCCCATTCCCGTTCCTCAGTCAACATGCTCTTGCCTACCTTATTCTAGTTTAGTAGAGTTCAAAAAGCTGATACGAGTAGAAGAAATATTACAGCAAAGAAGAAAGGAGCAGTCAATTTTCACTGGTTTTCTTTGTTGTGAAGCAACAGATCAAGGGTTGTCGAGACACGATCAGAAGGAGCGAATTTCTTCTGAATTTCAGACATCAACTCAAGATTTTCTTGATGAAGAAGACTGGCCTTCTTTCTTAATTTCTCATTCTCCTCCAAGATGGTGATGTTCTCAATATACAGCTTCAAGTTCTTCAGTACCATGTCTTTTCCAACTTCTTCTTGACATCTGATCCTCCTCCTATATGAAATATAAACATCAAAAATAAAATGTCGGCATATGCATATCACTTTTCTTGCTTGTACAAGTTATTCAGATAGAAGGTGGAGTACCTTGTGAGCCTGGGAAGTTGAATCTTACATCGCCTTGATTGCTTGTTATGCATAAAAGTGTAGATGTTATGAGATGATATACACATGTTAGTATTATATGGTCTTTTTGTTGGTTTTACAAAGAAAAGTTTTAGAGAGGATGAAAAGAAGAAGGGGTGCTTTGAAATGGAATTGAGCAGTGGAAACTTGGAGAGAGATGTTTAGAGATCAAGTCTTTATATACAGGTCATAGGTGGAATTGTTATTTTCAATGTGTTGTATGTGCCCATGTGGTTCCCTGCCTTGGATAGTTGGATGTAGCGAGACTTGAGAGAAACAGAGAGGGAAAGGGGAGGAGGGGGTGGATTAGTTTCAAGTAGGGTAATGATGACAAGAGGACTCATGATTGCAAAGAGCAGCAACCCCATCTATATCCATGAAGAAAAAGCCTAAGAAGAAGGAAAGGTCTCTGTATTCTGCAATTTTCTCTGCTTAAGACTACATTTGTTTGGCAGATTTGGAAGGTAATGATCGTGGGAAACTTTTGTAAGCATCGGATTATCAAATCCTACTCAAACTTCTCTTTCAGCGCGTGACAGAATTTTACCTAAAAATACTGATCAGTATTGACATGCACTATACTCCTCCTAGAGTATTTGTCAACTGTCATGGGTGTAAATGCGACTGTTCAGCTGATGATGATTTCATAAATTTGCAAAGACCGACACCACAAAGAAGAAACTGTTTTTTTTTTTTAATATCCCCATGTAAATGCACCAGGGAAAGTGTCAACCTTTAGGGAAAGTTGAGCAGTTAATGTACTAATATATGAGGACAGACAAAAGTAATTAATTTGGTTTGAAATGAAATGAATTACCAGTTGATCATTTTCTCACCCAAAAAAGGTAGACCTAAGCCACATATACAAAATGATTTTAGAACAAATAGTAAAGTCCCCTAGCGATGTAAAGCCAAAAACAAAAAACAAAAATCCCTTTACTTACAAGAACTGTGCACGTAAGATGGAAAACTAGCAAATTAACCCTCAAGAGTTTAATATTCTCAACTCTAAAAGTATCTTTCTGAAATGACAGCCTAAGAGTTTAATATTGTGAAATGTGATTATCAACTCAATCTTGTTGTGCAATCTACGAAATTTAATAATTGTGCAATGTTTTTCAAGTTCATCCAAGTACTATGCCAGATGCTATTGGGCTGTAGTAAGTAGAAAATAATATACCATGTACACCACAACTAACAGCATGGCTTACACTCCAAATACTACTTACTGTCGTAAAGAAAAAAATTGTGACCCAATAGAAAATAGTAGTAACATTTTACCTACGGGACTTAACTGTAATGATTTGACAGTCCGTTGCATGCGTGTCTGTACTTGGAAAGATGTACTGCAACCATGGTTTCTAGTTTTTACTCTACAAACTGTAATTGCTCACTGAAATTTCATGATAAATGGGAAATGCAGTGTAGGAATAAGGCACTATCGTAACCAACCTTCGTTTTTCCCAACCCTACCCCGTACAAGACAAAATGAATAAAGAAAATGGCGTCAGAGAGTCTAATGTTATTAGAAGTGAAAGTAAATGCAGTTAACCTCCTTCAGTAGTTTCAGTTATTTCTCAGTTCATGAGATATATTGATTTATGACTAGCTAGAGATATCATAATTAGGAATATCAGAGTGATGGTGCTGGCTTTGTCAACTTCTGGCACCGGCGGGGGGGTGGAAGAATGGTAGGCGTATTGGTTAATTTGATCTATGCACTTGTGATGTGTTGTATCCTTGACACTCCCCATCTCTGCTCTCTTCTCTTGATGCAATCGAGTACTTGTATTTTGGATGTATTCTTGAAATCATTCTAGTAGTTGTAAATTGTACAATTGTAGTGTTCCCTACTACTATAACTTGCTCTCCTGGATCTACGGTTGATGAACTGTATGGATTCTTTTAGCCATATGGAACATGCAAGTACTGCCTTTTGCTTTCACTGCATTAAATGATTCCAGTACTGTGTTGATTTCAGTAGTTGTTCCATAACTTGGGGGGTTCTTTTAGCTCAGGTGAAACTTTTTATTAAGGGATTTAAATACTAGCTCAAAATCAAAAGAGAATGTTGATTGTAGCCTAGTGAGATGTGAAATTGTGAATGGGAATGTAGGGTGCGCATTCAATTGCACTAATCTGTCAAGGTGAAGAAATCTGAAATTATTACAGTAGTAATTCGCATTGATGTAAGAAAATCTTCTTGTCACACGACAAAAGCAATTCTTGTGGACTCAATATTGGTCAAAACCAAGAAAGAAAGCAATACCAATATGCACCGGTTTGAATCCCTATTCAAATCCTTTGAATAGTAATATTATCTCAGCTGCTGGAGGGTACTTTTGAAAAACTTTTGAGATGGTTTGGCTCTTAATTAGAACATTAATTAATTTGTTGCACAATAATTTCTGATAAATTTTAACCACTTGATCTCTGAATTTTTATTTTTTTACTATCTCGTATGCCTTTTTCTTTTCAAGATTCGTTAAAAAAGTTCAATTGCGTGCATGTGTACACATACATAACATCTTGCCATGTCCAGGTGGACTCTGAAGCTAACTTCTAAAGGATGCATATATTTTCCATCATATTATCATTCCCCTTTTTGACTTCAGGGGAATAGAACAAAGGAAGCTGAAAATTGCGGACTTTCTTTAATGCAGAACAAGTGTCTAGCTTCCAGTTTCAAGATAAATGATAAATCATAGGGGTGGCAATTCGGGTCCAAATCAGGTTGGCGGGTCGGGTTCGGGTCAACCCGTCAGAAAATCTGTTGACCCGAACCCGACCCGCCAACCCGTAACGGGTCAGGTATGCTGACCCGAACCCGAAAATTTCAGGTTGGCGGGTTGGCGGGTCGACTCGAAATTACCCGAAACTTAATTTTAATTTATTAATTTATCACTGTAATTTCTAATAAAATCAATTTCTCACAAAACTAATTACATAATCAAGTAATAAAAATTTAAATAAATAATTCCAAACCAAATCTAAAATAAATTAAACACCGTAAAAGTGTTTTATCCCAAACAAAATATAAAATAAATTAAAACAATATAAAAGTAAAAAATAATATAATATATTATTTGTCCAAATATAATAATTTCAACTTCACACAAATTAAATAAATTCATTTAGGATTAAGTAATTAATGCCTTTGAAAAAAAGAATAACTTAGTTTAGTTAGATAAAATTATTTTTATGTTTATTAAATTATTTTTAATTCGTAAACGGGTCATATCGGGTCATATCAGGTCACCACGGTTGACCCGAAATCGACCTGTTTTCTTTTCGGGTTCATCGGGTCCAACCCGATTCTGACCCGAATTCCCGAAACCTCAACCCAAACCCATTAATTTCGTGTTAGGTTCGTGTCGTGTTTTCAGGTCGTGTCGAAAATTGCCACCCCTAATAAATCATATCCGTTTTGCATGGAGAAGACCCGAATTCAATAAGTTATGCTACCATAGTAGCTAGCAGTTGAAAGCGAAAATCACATTTGTTAATTTGTTTTCATTGAACCAAAATTGAAAATTATAATTGTGGAGTCTTCGGATTCTCCCTCAATACCAAGTCCTCCTCGAACAGCGAAGTGTTGCATTGGTCACTTTAATTTGTCTAGCACACCTTTTTATTTTGTCTTTTTTTTTTTCTCTCATGAATATCGAGATAAAGTTGACAACTTTAAAGAAAGATAAATGCATGGAAATGAATGTGTTCTTTAACGAATATTTTGAAAATATGGACCAACGAGTGAACTGACTTGCAAATAAAATAATCATCTTCAATTCAAAAGTTTTTTTTTTTTTTTTTGAGGTTAGTGGGAGCTTTTAAACCAAAATGTCCTACTACTTATAACCTCTTCTATCTTTTCATTCAACCTAACTCCCTCCCGAATTAGAAAGGTTTAAGTAGCCAACCGTTTGTCTATGTACTAGGATGAGAATATTTGCACGAAATCGAACAAAAAAAGGAAAATTGATTACGGAAATAATAGTAAATCAGACAAAAAAAGATTTTTAACAAATTCAAACAAGCACAACTAAAGTTCTAAACATCTAGCTAGCGCTTCAATTCTTAATAGATTGTGTTTTTAAGTCTTGTAGCTAGTTTAAGAACTTAAGAAGATGGGAGGCACCATGTGAAACTGAATCTTTTGCAGACACGACGTCGTATATATTCAGGAGGTGAAATGAACCGACACACTTAATCAATCACAAAACTTCTGTAAATGCCTTCCACCAAGTAAGAGAAGAATTCTTGATGTGATGAGAATTAGAGCGAGTGCTTGCCGCTGCCGTTCTGGTGCGAGTGGTTATAAGATGTACATGTAAACCACTACCCAAATTAAATTAGCAATATCTTGCATGGCACTATTCTCAGCTAGTTTACATGGTGGGAATTAATTAAGGGAGGAGTTTGATGCTATATACATTGCTAATCCAAGATTAAGTGAGTACAAATTAGCGAGACTTGAAAACGTCAAATTTAATGCGAGACTTGAACCTTTCTTCTCTCAGCCCTTTTGAGCTTTTAGGTGTTTTTGTGGACCATTGAATCTCAATTTGCTGGCTTTGAGACTTTGTATGGACCATTAGAATGCGAAGGTGGCTGGCCTTCATATTCCACCCTTTCCTTTTCCATAGCATTCTCCTTCGACTTTCTAACCATCCTCATTATATTTTGTTTGAACACAAATATCAAAGAGTCAAAATTTGTGTTGAGGGCCTATAATATACACTATATCCCTTCTCTACTGGTCTATTTTGTGCTTGATGGCCCCTTATGATCACCAAAGTATGCATGAGTGCACTAGATTACAAAACCACTGCCAAAAAAAAATTGATGAAGTTGCATATACTCATTATTACCAGAAGGAATACACTTGCAAGGAAATTCTAGTCATGTGAATTCCACAACTCAACTCCTTTAATTGATCGCACTTCATTGCAACTTACAACCGGCCACTTGACACGCTATAATTGCTTACTGATAGTGTACTATAGTTCTCTGGATAGAAGTTTTGGCCGGCTAGTTGACAGCAAACCAGTGCCATCACAAGGATGCTGTTGTTTTGGGCCAAGCTGCAGGCGACATCAAAATTGTACAACTTTGTCCTGTTAAACTAATGATATTAACCTTCTAGTTCGAGCTAACATATAACAAATACACGTACTTGAAAAAAAAAAAGAAAAAAAAAAAAGAGTGAATCTGAGAACCCAAAGGTGGAAAGTCAGGTGCAAATTAAGAAAGGCTTCGTTTCAATTTATATAATGTGCATCAACTAGTAAAACTTATCCACAAACTTTTACTAGTACTTAATTACCTTCTTAATAAATAAAACTGGATATATGACAAGCCGCAAGAGAAGTTGTAGTACAAAGGCTCAAGTAGTAGCAACTACTTTCTTTAGGCAAATGATGTTCGTGATTCATACACACATATGCCTATCTACATTACATTGATCATCAGTGTAGTAGTGTACGCATATATGTAAAGGCTAATAATGCCATATTTGAAGAGTAGCAGAACCACTCAAAACCTCACTTATTCCTTCTTTTACTACTGCAACTACTATTTCATATATGAGGGTCGAGTAAGCTTGGTGTAGTCAACAAGGAAATGAAAATACACCCCACCCCCCACCCCCAAACCCTAGTTGCCATCCATGCTTCCAGTTTTTTTAAGTGTACTAGTGCAAAATGGCTCTTTGTCTTTGTAGCCAATTTGGATTGTACATGACGTAGAATTCACATGCATCAATCATGATAAAACATTGCATTTATGAATTCATGGGGTCCGGCCGAGTCCATATCAATCCAACCCCATTTATGTATCTATCACCATTCACCACCGTATTCATCTAACATCTACAGCTTGGTGCAATCGATTGAGCACCGTCCTTCTTGATCAACATCATCACAACCACTCATTACGATCATAATTGTGACCAAAACGTCAAAAAAACAATTTTTTTTTTTTTTTGATATTGGAAGTCATCTATGGAGCTACTATATCTACATATATTCAAAATTTACATTATTACTTGAAATTATGACGTGGTCTAATTCCCCTCCCCTCACCACACACACAAAAAAAAAAAAAAGAAAACTATTTTATTCACTTGGAAATGGAGTACTAATCATTACAGTAGCTATTGGTCGCTGTCTCTTCTTCTTCTCAATAGTTGCTGAAATGTTGAGTACTACTAATGCACCTTGCCAATTTTTTATGGATCCATTATTTTTCTTCTACTCGGCTATTGATTAATTCTCAAAATTTTAGATCAACTTAGATGAATTCTAAAGTTACTTACTTGTGTTTGGATCATGGGTTTGGGCTTTTGTGTTGTTGAGTGTTTGAAGCATTGTACAGAAATTCAAGAAGACACAATGCAACTGAGAAGTCACTGAAAAAAGAAAAAAAAATGTTTTTTTTTCCTTTGGTATTTGCCAATAGACCGAGCTTCAACATTCTGTAAGAGAGAATGTTGCAATTTCTGGGAAAGAAATCCTGGCTGTGATATCAAAATGCAAACCCGTTCATCCAATACGCCATTGGCGAATTGCAAGGCACTTACTATACTTTTTAATCCAGTCTTAGATGACCACATTTTGGGGCCACAAGAAACCTTAGCCCACCTTGTAAGCTGGTCTTATGTAGCACGGCAATTCAAGCCCACGGCGACGGTAGCCTGAGTATCACGCTGCAATTCTACATCATTACCTGAAATGGTCTGCCAAAAGAAATTGTTTGAAACATGAAAAATGAGAACGAAGTCAGGAACCCTATATGAACCTTAGCCCAAAAGCCCCATTGAACTGAATACATTTTTTTAAATAGAGAGGCAGATTCTCGGTTGGTATTTTTAAGCATCCTCTTAATTTTTAATGGTCAAACTTTCTTTTAGCTTCTAATTGTGGGTAATTTATTGCATAGTATTTTCAAGTACTGTTTTAAAAATAGTAGTTTTTAGTTTTTCGAATGCCAAAAAGAAAACTAAACAGAAGGTTTCAAAGAATTTGCTTTTTTGACTTCTGATTATGAGATTTTCTAAAATTAAAATTTACGAAAATCATAATGAATTGAGAATGTGCCAAAATCCTAATCTCCAACGGACAATCCAGATTTCTGAACAGTTTTTTTTTTTTTTTGTTGTTGTCTAACAACCACAATTTACCCTACTCACTCTTACATTACCAGAGAAGGAAAAGCCAAACTGGACTTATATAGGAATTGAGGGGTGAACCTCAGACCAGACAAAAGAATTACAATAGTTTCTTGTAATGTTTCCAAAGCTCTAGATAATAGCATGCTTGGCCTGCGTTCTATTTCTTCAGCTGAAATCAATCAAACAGCACGAGATATCAGAGAATCAATCTGAATTGGTTCCTAAATTTACTTTTTTTGATACACAGATCTTTCTCCAACCACTTGCAGGATCTGAAATTGTCCCCACATAAGTAATCGTAAAGCACTAAAAGCTCACAAATTCCATATTCATCACAAGCTTTTAGGATGGAGGCCAAATCACATCCACTTGTTCAACTTGGCAGCCGCATAAAGTTTACTGTGTGCCGCAGCCATGCAAGTTGCGGCCTCAAGAAACCGCGGCTGCCATTTGCCACCAACTTGAAACCTTAGGATTGAGTCCGCGTTCTAGGAATTCTGCCTCTGTATTACTACTTGTTTTGCTGGTGTATTTAAAAGACAACTTCTTGTTCCAATTCTTTTGATTTTCTAATGTAATGACAAAAAAAGATCTGCCATAATCGTGAAATCTATAATGTCACAGCAAATATGTATATGACGAGAATATATATTCCATTCAAGTTAATTTGTGATGATGTTTTGTTTTACGTGAGAAAAATAATTTTGGTGCGTCGATAAAAATTTGCTATGGCATTAAAATATGAGTTCTCAAAATAAGACCAGTATTTTTTTTAATCTAATTAGTTTACTTTTTTTTTTTAGTGTAAGTGAGAGAATTCGAATCCGAAAATTCTCGCTTACATTCCCTTACCCCCGAACCACCTAATGCATTATTAATCTATTTAGTTTTTTTTTTTTGAAATAAATCTAATTAGTTGTTGAAACTCATCTTTGTGACCAATTAAAGTGTGATAAAGTATACTACATACGTGTGCCCGTTATTTTTGTGTCAAGGTGTAACCAACTGTTCAATTATTAGTAAATCAGAGATAATTTACAAATAGAATGGTTAATTAGAAATTCCAACGAAGGTAAATTAACAAAGCAAACTTTTTACTCGGCATTTTTGAAACTGAACAAGCAAATATGATTTGGGTTAGACTTCAAAGATTTCTCTATGTTTTGTTAGTTAAAAAGAAAAAAAAAACTCTTTTCTGTTAAAATATGCCTTGTAGTATATTTTTGACTTCAGAAATCGAATGTTGCAATATGTCCAGCCGTTGATGGTTCAGATCATGGGAAAGAGAATTTAACGGTCGGATTTGGGTTTGGGTGCTTACAGTTCTGGAATATGGCAGAAGCATGCCTTTTGTCTTTTGGATTGTACCAGAAACAGAAACGCTGCTTTTACCGGGTTCTCGTCGAATTCGGCGTGCGCGTGTATCTCTTTGTAAAGACAGTTTTACGCCCCCTAAACTCCCACTTCAAAAGTCCCATCTAATTGAAGGATTAATTTTTTTAATACACTAATAATGTAATGATTTTTTAACACTACGAGATTTAAATGTATTTCACAAGTACATAATTTAAATTTTAAATTTAAATTCATGTTATATAGTATAATCTAAATTTATCAGTGTAAAAAATTATACATTAAGAGTGTATAAAAAAGTTATCCTCAATTAAAACCCATAAGCAATTTTTTTTTTTTTTTTACAGATACAGCTGCAAAGATTGATACACATGTGAAGGATAAATAAAAAATAACCATGGCTATGAACAAAGATAGAATAGACCTCTTCTCCATTGATTAAAATCAATTGTCCTTTAAAAAATGGTTGATTGAAATCAACTGATGTAGAAAAATTACTGTAACGATTTGATATATGTGAAATAAAAAGGTGATTTAAAAATGTGTCTACAAAAAAATAGCAATTTTTCTTTGAAAAATAGCAATCCAAACACACCCTAAGTTTTTTCAAATCAACAATGCTCTCATTGAAAATTGACTTTTATTTTCATATCATTTAATTGGAAAAAATAATTTATTGTTAAAAACAACTAGTAAAGAACTTTCATGGATAATTTTAATTTTTAAAACTTCCAAAACAAGAACATGTATTCCTAGAACTTTTAAAGAATTTTGAGAGTCAACCATTAAGAAACTCAATGTTTGACATTAGTTAGATGCAAAAACAACCTCTCTAAAGGGAGCAAAAACAATATGATGGATCAATAATCCAAAAATAGACATATTTTGATAAAACATGAAAATACAATTTTTTGTGATAAAAACATGAACTTTAGCTTCAAAGTACTCCTAATGCTAGTCATGAATGTGTAGAAACAAAGTAAAATTCATCTGTCATCCAAAATCAAAATGGAAAACGTTCTAAAATCACCTTTTCTCAATCAAATTTGAGAATAAACTACCGAATCTTAAATGGAACAAAAAAATGCTCTAAAGACGAAAGGAGAAGGTTAATTTTGTCTTTCAAAGGCACCGAGTGGAGAAAACCAACGTCCTTATCAAGTGAAACCTCTCCTATTTCTATGCTGTTTCCTCCACTAATTAAACGTGTTAACGAAGTTGGATTTTGCAGTTCTTTCCCAGGACTACCCCCTCGTTATTATACCTCTATCTCCGGCTCCAATGTGGACTCGGTCTGAGGGTAGTCTCGTCAATTCACCAAATCCACCGTCATTAAATAGGCTTTTTGACCACCAAACCTCTATTTATTCATAGTTTAACTTCCCCACGAAACAGAAGAAGCCTTAACCTGAAAGCACTCTTTCTTCCTTGTTTTGTGAAAAATTTCGTCCAAAAAATCCGAAGAAGAAAATCCTTGACTATCTGAAGATGGGTTCTGAAGGAAACAAGATGAACGACGGCACGAGCTACCAGCCATCGGAGCCGACCTTGTGCGCGAACGGCTGCGGATTTTTCGGCTCGCCGGCGATGATGAATCTCTGCTCAAAGTGCTACAACGATTTCCAGATGGAAGAACAACAGAAGGCAGCTGCTAAGGTTGCCTTGGAGAAGCTCGTGACGTCTCAGAAAAAGGCCGATGATGCTTTTCATGTGGGTTCTCCAGAGTCTTACGGTACGGCCGCGGAGCAAGTTGAGAGGCAGGAGGAAGCGGCTTCGGCGCCGGCGGCGGTTGTGAAGAGTAATAGGTGCTTTTGTTGCAATAAAAAAGTAGGGGTGATGGGGTTCACCTGCAGATGTGGTAGTACCTTCTGTGGGCTCCACAGGTACCCAGAAAAGCACGATTGTACCTTCGATTTCAAGGGCCAGGGCCGGGATGCCATAGCCAAGGCAAACCCGGTGGTGAAGGGTGATAAAATCCAGCGGTTTTAGTTTGGATGGGTTTAGGCCTGAGTCCGGATCCGGAACCGACCCGGGTCGGAGTCGGGCCGTCGTGTGTTTCTAAATGGGTTTCTTAGCTTGGTTAGGTTAGGTGGGTTGTGGTTGGAAGAAGTAATTATTGGTGATACTGTGTAGGGTTGAGGACACGTTGGATGGGGCGGGTTTAATTGGATTCGATAATAATGTAGAAAAGAAAAATGCATTATTATTATTATTACTATTACTGTTATTGTTGTTGCTGGTTAAGTTTGGTGGATGCTTTCTTTGCTGGTGCATTGTTTTATTGGTGGTGGTTCAGTCATCCGGACCTTTTTAGGTTCACCCCTCCTAATGGGGAATAAATTAGAATATACTATATTTGTCGTTTTCCAAAAGCGAAAAAAAAGAAGTCACTGAACGATTAATATGGTGGTATATATTTTTCTTTTCCAAGGACGAACTAATTACTAGTGTATCAATTGCCATGGTGGACGAGGAACTAAATGTGTGTGTTTTAGGTGCAGGGCCCTGAAAGTAACAATATGGTTGCTCATGTATTAGCCAAGAATGCGTTATCAATTCCTGATTCTTGTATTTGGATTTGATTCTCCGCTAAATTTTTTGGGTGTTCTCTTGATCAAATTTGCGTCTTTGTCCGGGATGATACAATATTAAAATTTCTGACCCTTTTCGTGGATGGGTAAAATTCTGGTTTTGTGAACTAATCCGACCACTAAGCTGCTGGAAAAGGTTTAACGCAAATTCTCAACGTTGTAGCATATGGTTCGTGATTTGCATTGTATCCTCCCGCCTGCTAATCCATATTTTACCCAAATCAAACAATTATCTAATGAAATTGTACACTCACTGTTGGAACTTGGAGAAGTCATTGTGACTATTCAATCTCAATCAATCTTATTCAGCCTACTACTTGTCGGCTTCATACAAAAATTTCCTCCGTTTGGCGGCCTTGCATTGATGAAATGCTATTCTTGATTGGATAATGATGTCGGGGAAGTAAATATCTTAGCAACAAAGCAATTGGACGATTACATATGGATTGACTTGATTTCTTGAAATGCCTAGGATTAGCTCATTCATCACCTTTCTCCAAGTCTACACTATTGCGTTTCTTTAAACGATGACATAAATGTTGCCTTGTTTGTATTTCCATTTTTCTTTAAAAAATTTTTGCGTTTTCAGTGAATAAAATTTTCAATAATATTTTTTACTCGTACATGAAGCTGCCCTGAAATATGGTATTTCAAACGTAACTTGTTATAACATTCATCTTTTCTTTCTCTCCTGAGTGCTGTCGTTGAATTTATTGAGGCAAATGATCTTGTGTATACAGTATGAGGAAATGTAAATTTTGGAGACGAACGGAAGATTTTTTAGAGCCTTTAAAATTCAATTTGTGATTAACTTTCTCTCTTTCGATAAAGCGAAGGTATACGTATAAACTATCAGTGATAAATGATCGGGTGAGATACGAATTCTTTATCTCGAATTTTTATGGTAAAAAAAGAAAAAACGATTCCTAAGAGTGCATGGGATTCGAGAAGCGGGATGGAAGAGAAGTGGATCCTGAAGTTGCAGTAACTTCGATTGCGTAACCAATGCTCCACTTCACAGCTTTGATCCAAATTGTCATTAGCCTTGTGAGAAAATATTTGGTGTATATTTTGACGGAAGATTCGATGTTTAATTGCTGTTACATGTTAGCATAGGAGTGACAGCGTGACACGATGGACCTCACATTTGCCTCCAAAAATAAAAAAAAAAATAAAATTGGAGATTCGATGGGCCTCACGGCCTAAATCATGAGAACTTCTCCTTAACTTTCCTCCATATCCTTTTAAAGATATTCACGAGAGATGTAATAAGAATAGTATACGATGAAAAATTTTAATTTAACAAAATGGACATGCGGGGCAAAGGGTTTTTGGATTTTCCATTTAGCTTTTTCTCTTTTGTTTTCTTTTCTTCGTCTTCTTCAATGAGGTCCAATTTTTAAAATTAGTAGAACAGAGTTAATAGTTTTGATCACATTAGAGTGACCTAGCAAACAGTGCAATTCTACATTTTAACATCATCTGCTGTCTGCCGTGGAGGGGAAACTTTTACAGCGAAGGCATCCTATATTCTTAAATTTGTAGTGTACAAAGGTTTTCTAGTATTATTCTGTTTGGTAGGATTAGGAACGTGTTTCGGTTGTCTAATACATTAGGCTTTACTAGCTTCGTTTTTAATCTTGCATCAAATAATCCTTGGGTATTCCACAAAATAGCTGCCTTTTTTTTTTTTTTTTACTGGCAAGATTGCGTCCAAATTGAGAATCCTTAAAAGCAAGCAAGAGATCGCTTGTTTTGTTGATTACTCCAGTCGAAACACGTCCCAAGCCTTCTTCCTTGAAGTCGAAGGAAAGCCAAGCATATCGAGGAACTAGGTTCAAGGTAAGAAAACAAAAGGATACCATTTTGTTCAACTATATTCAGGATACCAAACAATTAACTGGCGAAAATGAGAAAATTTCACTGTTCTTTTTGGGGCAAATTATTGCATAAACTTGAGATGCTATTCTTTTGCAACTTCTAAACAGCTTTACTTTACTGCCTATCATTTCCACGTTCGGCAAGTTGTAGAATAGATAGGATAGAACCCTCTTTCTTGAGTGCGGGTAGTATCATAAAAATAACACCTTTAGAATTCCACTTTGACCATAAAAATTGATGTTACAACTTACAATTATCTCAAAATCCTAAAAAGTTTTCTTTAGTGGCTTGGACCAAGTATACATTCTAACGAAAAAAAACAGGAAAATTTGTTCAAAACGTCTCACATCTCGTGCAATGAATTTTTTCATCCTTTACTTGTAAAATATTAATTTTATGTCCCTTACAAATTCAAATTAGCAAAATTTGATCTCAACTTAATTTTTTGACCACTTTTTAGCATGATATCACCACATGACTCACATGCAGTCATTTTTTATATACAAAAAAAGGTCAAATCTCACTTTATAATGGCGAAAAATAAATATGAATTGGGTTAGATATCACTTTTTTAGGAGAAAAGTAAATATAGTTCAAAATCAAATCCTACTTTTTTTAGGGACAAAAAATACATATGGATTGGATCATTTGTTTAACTATAAATGGTTTTGCTCCTAAAAAATGACCATGTGCAGGTCATGTGATAGATTCAAGATAAGAAGTAGTTGAAAACTTAGGTTGGAACTAAATTTTATCGACTTAATTTTGTAACGGATGTAAAATTATTATTTTAAAAATAAAGGATGAAAAAATTCATTTGATGAAATGTGAAAAATGCTATGAACAATTTTCATGAAAAAATAAATTTCACTTAAAATGTGTACAGTATTTATGCAATCAAAAGAACTGCATGTGTCTCGAGTCGATGACACTAATGCGCGCAGCTGTCTCGTTATAATGGCAACTTTGATGTCAATCCAAAAAGAAAGGTTCTATTGTATTGTGAATGTGTTGCACAAAAATAGAGAAGAAAGAAAAAAGATGCCATGAATGTGGGATTGCGTTGGTAGCAATTGGAGTTGCATGAGGCACTCAACTTCCAACTATAGGACCACAGTCTTGTGAACTTTTAAACTTTACAACTGAAGTGTCCCAGTCAATTCTGTGTGATGAAGATGCAAAATAAATCAAAGCTCCATTAAAGCTTGAAGCCTGCAGCTGGTGGATCCTCATCTTCTTCCTTTTCCAAGCTACAACCCCCCCCCCCCCCCCCTTTTTTTTTTTGTTCTTTTAAACAGCCTATAGCCTAGTTGAGAGCAATTATATCTTTAGCTGATGTGAAGTCCCCGTCGGTAGGTACTGTGAACCAAGGGTTTCAACCTTTTCAGCTCAAAAAAGACGAAAGAATGATTCACAAATGCGCACTCACGGCCTAGTTGATTTCACATAAACAAACTAGATTCCAACCTTGCAGAAATTGGGGCTTATCCAACCATAACTTTCGAGTGAGTGAATGATCTTTTTTGAGGGTATTTCGATTTTGTGAATCTATAAGTGATATTCAGCTTTTAGTAGCTTTTAAAGAATTGTAATGTGATGGCAGCAATTTTCATTTCTTTATGACTTTTAACGTTTCCAATATTCAATTTGACAGACTGGGTTGGACATATTCTACATTCCTTGTCTAAATAATCTTCAATACAGAATTGTCCTCAAACTTCTGACTTTTAATTTGATCGTCAAAACAAAAAAAAAAATAGTTTCTACCTATAGAAGTTTTTAACAATATCACTTAGCACCTCAAAATTTCTAGAAATTTCACTACCTGCTCTCGTTCCATATCTTGTAAAATGTTATATCCCCTATGACCAAAAGTAAGCTTAAAATATTCATTTAAGTCGATAGATCATACTCTCATTCCAAATTGCCCTTTTTGTTTCTTTTATTACTTGTTAATTTCTTACCAAATGCTAGATTAGGGGGTTGTAGGAGTAGTGCAACAAACATAGTAGCAGCATCCACCCAGAAAATTAATGTACAATTGCAACAATTACTTATATATGGTGCTGGAATTGAATGTAAATAGGGTAGGGGTGAGAAACATTAAAGCATTGAGGAGTAGATTTTGAAAGTACAAAATTAAGAATATGAAAGCGCAAGTATAAACTCTTCAAGTTTAAGAGTGGATTTGACCATACAATTCACTAACATCTTTCAATGTAAAAATTTGTAGCTCTAATTGCAAGGCCATAATATAAAATTTGGAGAGTAAAGAATTTTTTTTTTTCAGGGTGAAAGAAAAATCCCAAATAGAATTTACTTTTGTCATGAAAAATGCATTTTTTTAGTGATATTAATGAAATAAAATTGATGAGATCATCAATAATCTAAAGTAATGTAGTTAGGTTATTTAGTGTCAAAAAGCTACACCTTCAAAAATATAAGCCCCTAAATTGGTGTAGAACTTTTCGTGGCATTTTCAGTAATAATAGGGCATAACATTTTTGAACATGGAAAAAAAAAAAGAGAACGAGCAAGTAAGACTTATGGAGAGAAATTTTTTTCTTAAAATATGCCTAAAGCACTAGGATTAGAAGTTTTAAATGGTGCCTTGTTACTTTGAGGTTGGGTCTTATCTTGATGACAATAATATTTTTAGAAGTTTAAGGGTGTTAAATGACATTGTCAGAAGGTTTATAAAATTATTCCAAAATAATTTTTTTTAAAAATAATTAACGAACCCTTTTGTTTGTATTCCTCCGTAAATCTCTT